TAACTTCCAATTTATTCCTTTCCTATTGCGATCCTAAAATGAGCAAAAGGAATGTCAAGAACAGAATTTTAATGTCATACAACTGAAAAGGTTTGTTCCTCCGACAAAATCATGCTGCTGGGTAACATTCATTTTATTAAAAGGGAGTCTGTCAAAGAAGAAAAGCAATTCAAGCCACAGGAGAACTATGCTTTATGTATAAGATCCATTCCAGAAAAGTTGTGCAGAAAATATTTGTATATTGAATCAGTTTTTCTTCTGACTTTCATTATAATTTTAGAGGTGTGCTCCTACAGAAAATACTTTCGCCTCAGCATCTCATTGTAAAAAAATCACACCAAGGAGCTCAATATTCATTTCAAGGACTATTTTGCATTTGTCAACATGCCATCTCTGTTCATCTAATTTCCCCTCATGGCTTGTGCAATGCTAGTCAAGTGAACAAGCAATTAAAAATGATTTTACACATGCACTCCTTGCCAAGCACACACACCATGATCTATACAAAGGCTAATTTTCATTTCATCCCCGCTGACCTCACAAAACGTGACTATTCAGAGCGGGCCTGGCCTGGCCTGGGCCTCCACCCCGCCTATTTGTTAGAAAACCTTTGCTCCATGAGCCTCAGACCTTTCCCATGCTTTCAATGGCGACCAGCAATTCCTGATGTGCACTTGGTTGTAAGGTTCTTTTTAGGGCAGTTGAGCTTCTCCAATAACTGATTATAAAACAGTAAGCCTGTCTTTTTGATAAGAACAGTGTGTCTAGTACCAACGGAATCAGCAGAGTTCACTAAAAATGTTTACAGAGTTTCTCCAATAAAAGCTCCACATCACAGCTTTAGCAAGTGAGCAAATCCAAGCTCAAAGGATTCATGCTTAAAACCAAGGTAACTAGTATGTTACTTGGAGTGGTTGCTGCCGATAAACGAGGTCTGTGTGAAGTAAAAATGTTAATCCTTAGGCAGGGTGGATTTACCATGATGCTAATTCAGATTTCCAGGTTTCTCACCTGTAAGTCTGTCTGAATCTCCTAATTTTGTCATCTTTTTCAGAAAGAGGGACCCAAACAAAAATTACAGGAGCTTTAGGCTCTCAAAAAAAAAAACCTGGACTCTTCTGGCCTTGAAGAGGATACTTTTTACTATAGACTACAGCATTACGCCACAGTATTTTATGACCACAGAATTTTCATGTACTTACTCAAAAAATGTTGTCCATCCAGTTTCGTCACTTTTCGTGGCTAACAGGCCACTGTTGCCATGGTAAGTAAACAAAACTAATTCCAGTCCTTGGGCAGTCATGCTTTTCAAACATCCATTTGTTCCTATTGTCAACCATATCACTTGGTTATCCGGAGACACCACTCGAACAGGCATCCGATTCGGGTCCCTTCTGATTCTAAGAGTATTGCCATTGCTGTCTGTCACAGCGGTGATATCATTGTCGTTGCTGTAGCTGAAATTGTACAGGTAGTCGCCGGTGACTAAGCTTACGGTATACTGGTGAGTACCGTTGATGTCAAAGATGTAGAGCTCCTGATCCGTGGGAGAGGCGACTTCATAGAAGCTCATCGAGTTCAGCAGAGGCTTATTCTTGGACACGGCTCGGATCCGGATGTTCCCCAGGTCGGCGATATACAGTGTGCCGTCCGGGGAAGCTGCTAGGGAGGACGGAGCATTGAGTTTGGCATCTTTGGCATAGCCATCTCCGCTCTGGTAACAGTCACAGTTGGCATCGTTTTTGCAGTCGCACTCTGAAGGTATTCCAGCCACCAAGGAGATTTCCCCATCCGTTGTGACCTGCCGTATTCGGTTAATTTTCTTTTCGTCCGTCTCAGTAATGTACAGGACCCCGCTGTAGGACACAGCAATGGCAGTGGCTGATTCCAGGGTCGTCTGCACAGCATGCTTCCCCACAGGGTATTCCACTCCGGGAACCTGACAGTGCATGGGCCGCCCAGCAGCGATGCGAACTTGACGGTTTTCAGTGATCTGTAACACCACGTTATTATCCAGGACATAAATGGAGTTATCCATAGGGTTAATGGCTAGGTCAGTGGGCCACTCCAGACGCACCTTAGCACAAGGAGAAATGGTCTGGTTAGTCAGTTACTGCACTCCAGTTAATTTGCCAGAAGAGTAAATTAGACCTTTCAAGGAAATGAGCTTTGCTTTGATAAACTGTTTTAAATCTAAATATTTTGAATGGAGACAAATGGCAGAAATAACATTTTATTAGAAAAAAATGCAGCTAACTGAAAGATTTGCTAGTTAAAGCCAAACAGCAAATGAACCTCTAAGTAGCGAGTCAACAGACATCAATGAGATAGGAACACATATGAGAATGTTCTCGATAGCAGTAATAAACACCAAATGTCGGGGTTTCCTAGGTTATGAGCACATTAGTATTCTGTTGTGTTTTTAGTCAAGCCAACAGCAGAGTTCCTAATGCTATGGATGGGTCTCTTGGGACTAATCGTGGCGGGTTCTCTCCACAGCTGAAGGAGCTCATGCAAAGGTTAGAGTGAAGGTGGTGTGGTCTTCTGGAGCATCTGCATGCGGCTGCTTTCCTGGTGTTGAGCTACAAGTGCTTAGGGCTTCTTACGTGTTGATTGTCCTGGATCTCCCTGACTTCACCAAGTACAGGATTACAGGGGAAGGCAACTCTTTCCCAGCAGCTTTGTCCTAACCACTGGCACACACTATCTGTGCGGTTTCATATGGAGCCGTCACAGTGTACTGACATAGTCAGAAGAAAAGCAAACAGTTCAGCTTCGTATTTTCACTACCTGGCTGATGTGCATGCTCGTGTCACATGTTAAAGGTCTGGCTGACGTCAGATCGTTGGAGCCCAGCAGAGTTGATATGATGCCGTTCTGATCCACTTTTCTAATCATGGTTCCGTCAACAAAGTAGATCAGTCCATTCTTATCAATCGCCATTCCTTTTTCCAAGAGAAGGAAGTGTTAGTAATTTTTTAAAACATTAATTTTGATCACACAGTTGGGCCCATCACTAAACGCAACACTGAGGCCTAGCGATCACATGGATTACAGGGAGCGGGTAGGGCTGCCAACTACAAATGCTTTTGGAAAAAATCAGCATAGGCGTTTATAAATACCATTAAATTTAAACTGCACTAAAGAAAGAATCCAGATTTGAAAGACCCTTCAAATAGTGTATGAATCACATCAGTAGTACCTGTATGTTTCAAATTTAAGATTATGTTTATATAATGTTATGGCCTATAAATTATAGAAACAAGCTGAAATTCTGCTACAGTGAACTTTAGTAATGATATTCTTCCAACAAAAGTAGATCCAAGCCAAGGTTAGTGTTTTCTTGACTTTGTTAAAATGAAATTTGCTAATATGAATAATTCAGTACAACAAATGCTTGTTTCCAGTCCTTGTTCATATAAGAGTTACTGGTATGATTAAAAAACATTGTAATAAACAGCATAAACAGGAGCAAGGAGTCAGTCCTGGCTAGTTTAAAAGCCTTTCTCAGACAGAATTTTAGCCCTAGTTACCTCCAAAAATTCCTCCCAGCAAGCATTTTTCTCATGGCACAGAAATAAAAGTATAACAGCAACAAAGTGGGTGAGGGCTAACAGGGTTGCTTAGTTTTAAAGAGGCCTGGGACTCAGTCATGACAAAGAAATTCCAGGACAATGAAAGAATGTGAATACTTCCTTGAAGTTTAACAAGATGTGACCTGAATAATATAGTTTCCTCATTCTTTGCAAAGTTGAAAAATATGATGATGATTAACAAAATGCCAAGAACCTGATATTTACTGTAAAATCAAGTTAGGATTCTAGCACTTTCTTGCTAAATGGCTTTTAAAAAACACTAGATGTAAAACAGCTTTCCAGAACAGAGTTGAAGGGAAAATGTTAGACTCAGCATTAACTACAACTGGATTGCTAACTTTTGTTTGTTTCATAAAAAGAAATACTCAGATTGACAACCATCAGTACCTTTGGGACTCATAAGCGTTGCTTCCACCGCCTTCCCTCCATCCCCACATCTGGCTTCATCAAATGGGAGGCACTGCTCTCCGGTTCCTGCAACCACTTCTGCATTTTTAGTCAAGTCTTTGGCTCCTGTAAGTGACTTTGGGCGATAAATTCTTCGGGTGTTAGTGTCAGAAACGTACAAATCTCCTGTGACTGGATCAGTCGCAAGGTAGTATCTATGGGCTGGGTTACTGCTGTAAAAGGATCAGACATAAGCATCGCATGAGGTGACTGCCAATACCCAGAGGCAAATATACAAGCAAAATAAAACAGATCAGGAGATGCTGGTCCCAACCCACGACCAAAGGTTGGGAGAAAAAAAAGGTGTATTTAATAAGGATTTCAAAGAATATGATCACAGGTAGGAAGTCTCTGATACTGCTGTTTTCCTTTCTTTCTTGATGATTCAACCACCTATTAACAAACATCTTAAAAATAACTGCCACTCGAAGGGAATACACTTAAAGCCTAAAACAAAGTAGCACGGTCTCTCCATCTTTCTGGCTCAATGCAAAGCCACAAGTAAGCTGCCCTTGAGTGACAGACATTTCTATCAGGGGAAGGATGTCTCTACTGCATTCTCTAGAGAGATGTGACAACTACTTGCTGTACTCATACCTCATCTGGGAAATGCTTGTTGCTACAGCATCAAATCAAGCTGAAGACCTCCCTCTGAAAACATGGGGCATCGGGTCCATCTTGGTTGCCCCAGCACAGTCCAGAAAAGTAACTGATGCATTGCCGTGCCTGTTCTGAGCTAGGGGTTTAGTTACTAGAATGAGGTCTAGGAGGTCCTTCAGGGGTAGGAGGCAGTCAGCTGGTTGACTGGCCATAGTGAGTCAGGATGCTCATCTGTCAGTTTCATTGTTCAAGTTTATAAACTGAGCTACACTGAAACCTGTGCATGAACTTGAGATACAGATTTGTTCATAAAGAGTCATTCCTCAATTTCGTAATGATAAAGCAATGCAAATGTAGACCATTTAATATGTCACTACCTGTAAAATAAGACTAAGATTATCAAGGAATGAATGAACTCCTACGTTTAGTTCAAATGCAAAAGCTAATTTCTTTATAAACATGCAGCACCACATTCTTAACAAACACTATAATTTTGTTCCATGTGCCAATATTGCCTCCTGAAAAAAAAAAATCTAAGAAGACTTGAGATGATTTAGTGTCTCAAGAAAGATGTCAGTTGACAGCAACCCATCAGATTTCACGAATCTTTTGATGACAAACTTGGTAATTCATTGTCATTCCTCCCTCTCTCAACAGATACACACACACACCCCTGTATGTATGTTTCCTTCTATTTTATAGGTAAGCATCTGAAATATGTAGTAGACACATGACTGTATGAATGTTTTACTCCTGCTAGAGGTGCAGCAGCTTTCTCACTACTTCATCCTCTTCCTTTCAGGTGTGGCGTGTACGAACCTTACTGCTCTTGTGCGAGAGTCTATGCCTAGACAACAGGTGACGGCTCCCATGAACACTCCTTGCACTGATATGGTCTGTAGGGACTTCGGGAGTGCCACGTGCTCTAAGGTAATCGTGCTGGTCTGATGAACTACTGAGAAATGCAGGTATGTTCCCAGACCCGAGCACCCTCAGTTTTTGGGTCTCCTTTCTTTCTAATTTTTTTTTTAAGAACAGGAGGGCTTGAGTATATAAATACAGTATGTGTAAAGGGGAAAAATGGGAAACTCAGAAAGTAATGCAAGTTATATGGAACTATAGTTATATAATAGGATCAACTTGCCCCAAAGTCTAAATCTTGTTATATCCTAAGCTGATGCCTAAAATTTTAAACGAGCAAGTCATATTATGTTCCTTCATGTGGTAGTTTATTACTTTGTAATGAAGTGAAGAGTTACATCTCAATATAACATTCAGAGCAATTTTACAGTTTTTTTTTTCCTGTAAGCAGTCTGACATTGATGAAGCTGGTGTTGAAAGCACAGTTGGTACAGAGTTGTGCATCAACCAAGGTAGGTCTGTTTTGAAAGACATGATGTTAGAGAGACTTCTCTAGTCTTTGCTATCTCCCTGATTCCACAGTAGTTATTAGTTGTATTATGTGTGTGTACACATACAACCGTTTGTTTTGCCTTGTCATTTGTATACTTATGAGTATGAGCTCTGGACCACGTTGTGAGGGCTTGAATCCCAGTGTCATCACTTACTAAATGAGTATATTGGTTAAGTTACCAACTTATCTGGGCCTCAGATTTCTTAACTGGAAAGTGATGAAAATCATTTAATAGGATGCTGAGAGAATTACCTGAACCAATGCATGTAAAATCCCTAGACCAGAGCCAAGGGGTACCGCATCCTCAGTAACAATCAGCTGTTTTTAGTAATTGCTTCTGTCCTATGTCCTCTCACATTCTAGTCTGTCTTTTGTCTTATGAGTATAAAGTTTAGAATGCAATACTTATCACTGACTAACTGAAGCATGACAATTTCTGACAATGTTAAACACAGAAGAAAATGTTCTAGAACTGGCTAGGCTCAACATTTCTTAATCCTACTGTTGTAAGAACAGTTTATAATATCCAGTCCTATCGAGATTGTGGCCCTCTCTTAAGATATCCACTTTACGTTGTTTCAAGACTACTGATGATATTGGTAAAGGGACCATGCATGTTTCTTCATGCGAGGCACCTGCTTGAGTGGCGATGGCGCACAATTCAGCCGTGGGGCACAAGTTTTCCTGGTACAAACCCAACGGGCATTGAAATCCTAAGCTTTGTCTTTACTGCCACTGGTTTGATTCTAGTGGGACAGTAAAAAGAGAAAGTCCACAGAGTGCTTATATTTGCCTAGTTACTGCCCCCAAACATCTACAAAATTCTAAAGCAAGCAACATACATCAGCGGTTTTAAATACATTTATCAATGAAAGCTCTAATTTTGTGAAAAAATTCTGTTCAGAAGAACAAATGCCAAAGAGTATGTGGCCCTGGAGGAGAGAATTAGCCTCTGGGGATAGTCCCACAGACCGGCAGTAATTGAGAACTGGATAAAATTGCTTGCAGGACAATTTAGGGCTGCGGGTTCTTAGATCCCAGCCCCTCCTAAATGAGAAGAGGGGTCAGGATGGAAGTAAAGAAAAGAGGGCTTGGAAAGTTGTGGCTGCCAGCAGCCTAGAGGCTGAGGCTGAGGCTGTGAGCTGTTTCCGCGCCAGGATGGAATTCAAGGTCGCCTAATTTGAGCAGGGAAACTGCCACTTGTTTTTCAACACATTACAGAGGCTGGTGTGTTGGTGCAAGAGAGTGGCGGGCTTTTAGGTCCGTGAGCTACCCAGAGTGAGAACGGGAGCCTCCACAACCATAAACAGTCTGCAGCTGGAGCACAGGGACTCTCAAAATGCACGGTTTGGGGAACTCTCGGTTCAGCAGAAGCCCCACAGCCTTCCTGTGTGATTGATGATCTGAGATTTTGCCATCAGAGAAGGGTTTTGAATAACATTGCAACTCTAATTGCAGCAAAACCAGAACAACTGAGATCAAGTCAAGAACCCTTGGTCTATACTATGCCCTGATTCGTAATTCTTCCTGAATCGCAATTATCCAGCTATCTTCTCTGCAGTCTTATTCAATTAGACACAGCCCCACTGGTAAGTGCAGGCTGGATTGGCTCATTTACTTTGTCATAATTCAACCTTCTTAGATGAGAGAAATATTTGTAGAGAACAAGCCACAGAATAGACATTATGAGCACTTTTATCTTTTCAGTTGGAAACTGTGCCATAGCCCTTAGCACACAAAGCATTTGAAGAAGCATAACAAATTATATTTATGTATAAAAGTAAAACTGCCTATTTTAGAGTAACCAAGGGACTGTTCAGATTATTGCAAACAGGGACTCGGTGTGTGATATTTCTGTGCCTATTTGACTTTTAAATATTAAGTCAATAAGGAGTGCTGAATCAAGGTTTTACCATTTTGTATCTAAACTTTAATTGACTCAAATTCACAGACCTGTGATTGACACTTTCTTTGATCCTTAAATTGGTAGTATAGTCCTACATGTTTAAGTGCCCCTTAGCTGGTATTAATTAAGTTCTTTTATTTTGGAATTTTAAAAAATTGGAATACGGATGAGCTAAAATTTACTACCTATTAAGGGGTTTGTTAGCAAACTACGACTATAAACATCACAGGGGGAGATGTTTAGCACATCTAAGAGAAATACATTTTTAAAGCACTTTAAAAGCATCTATTTATGTAAAAATTTAATGTTGATTGAGTCGTATTTATATCTACTCATTAAAGTATAGCTAAGGACTTAAATATCCTGGCAGTACTTATTAACTTGATATAACGGAATACTCTCTCAATTTTAAAATAAGACTTTTTATTCAATGTTTTTATGATTTCCCCATTAGCCAGTTAGAGAGACTACTGATAGTATATACAATACAGTATGATAAGAAATACGCTTTTTATGTTTCCCTTTATCACTTACAACTGACAGTGCTGTTCATTTTCATGGATTCAGACCCAGTTTTCTATCTCTTCCTACCACCTACTTTGAAGTCTCTCATGACATTTGTGAGAGAGGAAAGGAGAAAGCGAGGTAGGATCTTTTTAATCAGTAGACGGAAGGTGATAAAAGGCAGGCAAATAGGAAGAAACATCCGAGAAGAATGTAAATCCTTTAAGTTAAATGTAGAAGCACCAATGAATTAAAATGTTATTTTTGCTAGGTTGATTTGAATTAGTTGGTTGTTAAGCAAACAGAATCCCTATTTTTGTCTGTCAGATGACAGATAGAGAACATCAGCCTCTGCCTCCTCTGCCTGTTGGTATCTTGTTGGTTGATTCCCTTCACTGCTAGGCATCCTATTTTTAGGTGCCGATACCTCATGGTCTGGTGTTCACGCTTTCCTAGCAGATCTTTCTTATCTGCTCAGATGCCTCTTGCTCAAGATCCTGAATTGGTTCCCCGCTGCCATCCTGCAGGACACAGCAGTAACTCCTTCGCACACCCAAGGCCCTAAGAGTCTGAGCGGAGCAGGCCTCTCCACCCTGTATTTCTCATCATCATCAGTGCGAGTCCCTTGTTTCCCTCTTCCCCAGACCCCAGTAACTCTAGTTGCACCTTTTCTATGACTGCCTTCCTTTCTTCTTGCTGTTCTGTTGAAGCAAACATCATTTTAGACCTAGTTCAAATCTAGAAAACCTTACCCTACAACACGCCCATCTTCCCATAATGTCTCTACTTCCATGAAGTTACCTTCACAGTACGAGCCATGCATAGGGGTAAGCATCAAAGAATGATACTGAAAATGGCGTTTAGTTTGTCGTTTACTCATATAAACCTTATTTTCCCTACTAGCTTCCAGAGTCCTGAGACTATCTGTCAAAGTGCCTTGCGAGTGATCATTTGACATTCAATTATTTAATGCCGATGGATATCAATATTTTACATGCATAACACAAAGAAATGCAGAAGTCCAAAATTAGATGATACACGCAGGAGAAAGATCCTGAAAGAGGTAAGTGCTACAAGTATCACCGCCAAACACCACCTGTTGTAGAGAACTGTTAATAACAATGTAGCCACAGCTTCACAGGTAATTCCCACCCCCCACCCTGAGAAAGAGATTACAGTTCTAAGTAATTTGCAAAATGACTATAAATCCAGGGAATCACCTCATCATCTGGACACAAAAACTGGCTGGCTGGCGTAGTGGAAAGGACATTCAAACCCTACTTCCCACTTCTTGGTTCTGTATCTCAGGGAAGATACATACCATATTTGGCACGGAGCCTGGAATGGAATAGGCCAGCTTGTGAAAAGGTGGCTGCTTTGACAGTGTTTCCTCTATTGCCTACAGCAGTGTGTTCGCCTGTTTGTCTTTCCTCTTTAGGGCTGCCAGGACAACTGTGATACCCCACTGTGGTTTCCAGTAGGAGAGGTTGCTTTGTGTGCTCAGTATTCTGGGGTAGATGGAGTGTTAACCTTTGCATGTGACTGAGCTATTAGCTGAAAGTGCAAGACTGGTAAGGCTATCTGAGGAAAAGGGCGTGGGACTCTGCCTGGCCAGTGCGATGTGTGACAGCTATACTCCTCTCAGCAGTACTTCGGTTTTCAATCTAATTTTATTAGATATTTTCATGGCCAGACTACACCTAGCATGTCCAATTGGTCTTGCACTTTTGCTAGATTTACTTTCAAATGCTGTAGTGAAGTTTTTCAGTCAAAAGTGTCTATAAAAGTCTACTTTCTCTAGCTAAGATAGTATACACTGCAAATAGATGAACTTGTGAGCCCTTATATCTGCTTCAATTATATTCAACCTTAGTTTTGAAGGACATCTTGTCCTCTATGATATGGCAATGAAAGTACTACCCTCTTAAATCTAGTAACTCTCCCAGCTGAGGAAAAACACAAACTATAAGCAGAGATGAGCTTCACCTGGCAATATGTTCACACAACCATGTGTTTAAAAATTTGCATAAGTAAAGTAATTTTAAATTTTGAGTCTCCCAAATGGAAGAAGATCTAGAGTTCATAAAATCGAGATCTGCCACAATATTGGTCAAACAATGTGCACAACCTTAATCTTGCTTACTGTTTCCAATTTTGTTCTAGTCATATGACTTCAGTTACGGGAGTCCCTAACTGAAGCCTCTTTTTGTGATACAGAGATATTCACCTCTTTGTTTTTGTAACCCAACTTGAAAATGTATTTCTCATTATATTGCATGATGTAATTGGCAAGATACTACATAATAAAAGCTCAATTAAGCAGTTCTAATTCCTTAAATGTTCTGTGATACTAAGTTTCCGCTCTCATGACATTTTACTAGAAAACAATTTGAGTTGGGGTAAAATGTAAAAATGACATTTGAAAATATATAATAACCTTTCGGCAAGATGCTTACCTATGTCTAAAATCTTTATTTCTTGGTGGAAGCAGATAAAAAAGAGGTAAAAAGAGAAAGCACAGTTAGAAAAGCTTTTTAACATAGAATGAGTGGAATACTGAGATTTTAATCATTTGTATGGAAAATTGCCAACTTAAGCAGAAATGACACTGGAAATGAATTTTGCAGGCCAAGGCTTATCAAATAATTTTGATAATCACATTTTAAATAAACATAGCAAAGGAACAAAAATGTTACTTTTGTTACTGCGTTAGGACCAATGGTTTAAACCAATGTGAGGATCCAACACTCTCCCTAGTACAATGAGCTAAGGCTATAGTTTCTATCATGTTCTGATACTGTAGGAGAATATTACAGACCTTAATTTCAAACACTATGAAATAAGAGTGGCAACCACATGACAGCATTATTTTAAAGAAAATGAAAGATTTGGAAATCATAGTTCTAGCTTCACTGGAATCAGTGACATTTTATATATTAGGTGACTTTAAAAAATTATTTGTCGTAAAGATGACAGAGAAAGAAACACACACACCGAGAGAGATACAGATGTACAGAGACAGCTCCCATTTGCTGGTTCACTCTCCAGATGTCCACAATGGCTGGGACCAGGAGCCAGGCACTGAGCTGAGGTACTCTCACATGGGAAGTGCACATCTTAACTGCTGAGCTAAACCAGCTGCACCATTGTATTAGGTGACTTTTTTTTAAAATATATTTGTGGTACTAATATGTGTCATGCTTCTTGTAACTTTAATCACAAACTGACTGCTTTCTAGGGAGCATTTTAAATACTGAGGAGGTATATTTAAATAACTAAGTACATTATATAAAACATTTTTAAAAAGGGATAATTTTCTTTTGGGCAGTGAATAGGATCTCTTTCTAGTTCAAATAAATAAATACATATATACAACCATAAGTGGGCACTAACACTGCCAAATAACCTTTCTCTACGTCTCTGGTAAACTCACAGTTCCACTGTTGAAGAAATCAAGTGTAAGTTGTATTTGGATCAGTTCTTTGGGAGACACCTTGCTGATGGCATTAAATAGATGTTTAAGGGGGGCTGGCACTGTGGTATAGCAGGTAAAGCCACTGCCTGTGGTGCCGGCATCCCACATTGGTACTAGTTCAAGTCCCTGCTGCTCCACTTCTGATCCAGCTCCCTGATAATGCACTTGGGAGAATAGCAGAAGATGGTCTAAGTGCTTGGGCCTCTGCACCCACATGGGAGACCCGGAGGAAGCTCCTAACTTCGGCCTGGCCGGGCCCAGCTCCAACCCTTGCAGCCACCGGGGAGTGAACCAATGGGTGGAAGATCTCTGTAACTCTGCCTTTCAAATCAATCAATCTTGAAAACAATAAGTAAATTAAATAGTTGCTTAGAAAGAATGCCTTTGTGATCTACTTTCTTCCTACCCTCGATAATCATGGTGTATCATCATGGTGCAAATAGAGGAGGCAAAAAAAACCTGTCAGTTGCATTTGTAAACTAAAAAATGCCAAAACAAATAATTTATATTAAAGGAAGACATACCTTAGTTCCAAAACACTTGTTACGTTTCCAGAAGGGAATATGCGCCGAACATAGTTGAAATCTCCTACATACAGACTGCCATCGATCCCACAAGCCAAGGCAACGGGAGCCAAGAGTTTGTTACCATCAGCTTGACCGTTGCAACTTGGGCATGATATGCTGCGTCTTCGTCCATTGCCCATGATACTACTGACAACTGGAGGCTGTTGCGAAATAAACTGATTTTCTCCATTTCCCTTGTATAGTATACCTAGAAGAAAAAATGCATTTTTCTTATGATAAGAAGTATGAAAATAGAGAATGAACATGTTCACTGTACTTGAAACAACAATTCAGTGCCTTTTAGATTCCGATTGGGAAACTGTTATGTGAAAGGTCAATTGGAAAGCATTCTATACAATTATAAAACAGTTTGTGGCCAAGTACATGGGACACATACAAAAAGTGCTTCTGTCATGAATTCAAAGACTGTTTGGTGAGAGGGACTAAGGAGGAAATTTTAAAGCCCAAATTCTCAGCATCAGTGATTCTCACTCTTGTCTACACACTGGAACTGTCTGAGGAGTTATAAAAATATTGATGCCTAGCTCTAACCCCCAAGAGATTCTGATTTAATTGGTCTGGGGTATAGCCTCAGCATCAAAATTTTTTAAAAACTCTCTAGGTGCTCTTAATATGCAACCAAGTTTGTGAACCATGCTCTACCTAATATTCTTTAGGGAAAAACATTTGCTAAATGTTAGTGTTACTCCAAGTAATAAAAGTGTGTACCAGGAATATACATTTCTTAAGAATTTATTGTTAATTTAAAAGGGTTAAAGATACTTTATGGAAAACACAAGTACAAAATGCATATCAAATTTTGGAGGCTCATTTTAAACTACTGCTGGAGAATATTCTGCTTGCTTGCACTCCCATCTTATATGAGAATGTGTATATATGCAAGCATTAAAAAACAGCAAGGCCAACTTAAAGTGAATTTTACGTTACAGCAGCAAAGTGCCAATAATTTTACAAAGACTAAAGCTCTAGTCTAACTCTTAGGATCCATCAAAATCTGAGAAATAATTTCAAGTGGATATTAAATATTTTCAGTTTGAACTCGATGTGCATGGAGATTCAGAGTCTCCCTGTTGTTCTGACACACCCTGGATGGTCAGCTGCTATTATTCTGTGTACATTTTATGATACTTCTCACTGTGCTGTTATCTGTATAAACCACCTGCTGCTTTGACTTTAGAGCTGCATATATTATATTTATTGGGTGCTCTATGCTTCAAAGCAATTCTCAGAGTTAATGACTATACTTCTTCACAGATATACTGGTAAAAAAAAATCTCAAACAGGAAACTTGAGAATGTTTTTCCCCCACTTTGGGATAATTTTAAAGTGAAGAGATCAGAATAATTATGTTCCCCTTATAGCTCAGCATATTTTAGGTGCATTCCATGATTACTTTTTAATGCTTTGGTTTGCTATTTGGGTGATGTAATAATCACAGCGAATTTACATAAAGAAATCAAGAAAGATAAAATAGGTTTACTCAAATTTAAGGAAAAATAATCTAAATAAGGCTGGATCATAACAAGAGATGAAATTCACTTTTGCCCTGAATATTCAAAGAATACATTAATGATACCTAAGATTCCTCTTTCTGTGATTATGTTGTTCGACAATTATGGAACTATAATTTCCTATAAGAGCCAGTTCTGCAATTTTCATCAGAAGAATCCTACAAGTCAGCCTACTGCTCTACTGCATCTGATTTATGCAGTCATTACTTTGAACGATTGGCCCTTCATGATTCTCTTCCATTATGACAGAACAGAAAGATGAACATTAGAATATTTATTTCCATGTTTCAGGGTGCCTGCACAAACACCTGTCACTGTCTATGTTTTTGACTTCTCTTCTTCCATAATATATTTCTATAGCTTATCCACCGTGTCATGATTACAAATCACTTTGCTTATTCAATTAGACACATGTCACTTTGGAGAGCCATTACTTATCAAACTGTTCTGGGATAACATTCAAAACTACAATCAGTTTATCCTGTGACTT